CATCACTGTGAATAGCCCCACTGTCGCGCCCAATATCCGCCCGATCTTGGCACGCACCAACTCTGCAGCATCCGGGTTTTTCTTCTGATCCCCTCAGTCTCATAGCAAGGGTCCAAGCGTATGTCACAGGCTCATTGACTTTGAACAAGCTTCGTCGTGGCGAAATGGACAATCGGTTGGAGTTGAATCCCCTCACCGACGAAGTGCGTGAAACGGCGGCATGTCCAATTGACGTTGTTGTAAGTCGCCCGATCGTCAACATCCTCCCGCTCGCCCTCATGCTCGTCTTGTGGGGTATCATCAACGTACTCGTTAGCATTTACACATCCAGGCGCGGAAACGCTTTCGACATGGGCTTCCATATCATCAAGGAAGCACTGGGGCACGACACGACTTCCAACCCTCTGGAAGAAAACTCGAATCGCGGAGAGGCGATGGAACTGCCCTTGCGCAAATGGCGCTGCGGCGCTGGTGCTGCGCATGAAGGCTTCATCGGGCGAGATGGAGATGTCCCAGTGCAGGGCTTTGACTCCTTTACAAACGTGTGTGGTTGCACGCAAGTGGTGACGGAGATAGAAGCAGCGAGTGCGCTGCCAGACTCCGCGCCTGGCACGATGGCTCCGGCCGACGAGCTGTGGCGTGGGGATGTGCATCCGCGGTTGCAAGGACAGGCGTCGACTTTATCATCGGCGGCCCCGACTGACAACTTTGCATCGCAGACGGCCGCGGTGAGCAGCTCGTGGTCTGCGTCCGGGCTGCCGCAGCGGTTGCCCCAACCGGGACCAGCTTTTATGACGCTGCCTCCAGCCATGCAACATTCAACAGAGTCGGGGCGGCCGGGGCAGGAGTAGCCAAGGTGCCGACTTCGTGCTTTGGCACCACCGGCTCAACATGATAATCAATGTCATGAGAGCCATATACACACACGTAGCACACGTACAACAGCGATCAACTCACCACGATCGCCGCCGGCCTACGGATCGCTACCATCCCTACATAAGGTAGATAGAGACGCGATCACAGTAAACCGAGCGATCGATCTTGCATCACAGCTTATGGACCCTAACCACGCACCACTACAAGACGATCATCTCGTATACCGACCACCCGGACGACATCAGGACAACGAGAGCACGGCACCACGACGCCCCGTTGCCCCAACCCCACAAGCTCCGCCAGCAAGCGTAGAGCCAACACAACCCGCTCCGACCACACCCGTAGAGCCACAACACCAAGCTCCGATCACCCCCGTAGAGCCAACACAACACGCCCCGACAACCCCTGCAGAGCGCCCACAAATGTCAAACCAGCAAGAAATAGCACCCAAAATGCCCCAAGCTGACACAAGAATGCATGGACAGCTACCTCCACTCGCAAGCGACGGAACGAACTACAAGCTATGGACGCAAACCCTCCACGACATAGCAATAATCAACAACGTCGAGGCAGCCCTCGACGAAAGCTCACCACCCCCCACAGTAAAGAGCCCGTACCATTCCATATACCGCAGAAAATGTGCATTCCTACGCATGAGCATCATGACCAGCCTCCCTGCGGATCTGGCAAGCACAATCGACATGGACCTCAGCGTTACTCCTCAACAGCTTCTGGCAGAGATCAAAACACACTTCACTGACTCAACGCCAACCACACACCTCATCCTCAAACAAGAAGCACAACGCACAAAGATCAAGGCGGGAGGGGACATCGATGAATACATCGCAGCACACCGAACCATACGGACAAAAATGTGTCTCGAAGAGTACCCCAGCATTCAAAATGATGAATCTGTCACAATAGAATTCATCATACACGGCCTCAACTCGCACCCGGCACCCGGCATTGCGACACCTACCCGACATGTGGATCGCGAACAACACAATCCCCACAACCATAGCCAACCTCGTCCAACGACTCAAATCCATACAAGCTCGAGAAGACGAAAAACAGGAAATCCGGCAACAACGTCCACAAGGCATGAACACGACAGACCAATGGGCAGACAGCCCCAACTACCAGGCAATGAGACGACGAACCCGCAGCCGGAGGCAAGGCAGAGGATCAACGACCCACCCCGATCAACCCCAACGCGGCAATGCAGCCACAAGGGAAAATGCGGAACAATGGTACACGAATACCGATAAGAAGCGCATAACCCCTCGGCAAACAAGTCCGCCGCCCAAAACCACCACTGGAAAAATGGCCAGCACCCGCGACGAACACGACAACACAATCGCGCAACAGGTGACTGACGAGGACATATGCGAAGGTAAGCAGTATGCCCTCGACTCAGGAGCGCATCCGTCACATGTTCGCAAACCCACGACGAACATGAAACCACTCCGACAAATCATCCGAACTAACACGGCCACCAACATCACGCACACCGCCACACACAAGGGGATGATACATATACGTACCAGTACGAATAGGCACATACGAGTCCCAGCGATCGCCAACCCAGCAATGCGATCCAACCTGCTATCAGTTCACGACATAGCCGAGCAATGGGGAGAGGTCCGGTTCACACCCACACAGGCCACTGTACTCGACACGAGCACACACCCGCCACAAATAGTAGCGCAAGCACGCTTCAGGAAAGGCATGTACTACCTCGATCTCCCAAAAACCAAAGGCAACGGCATGGCAGCCCGGACCATACCACCACGGTCAATAAAAAATTCCAAAAGACCCGATACCCAAACCAAAAAAGCCCCCAATCCAAAAACAAAAAAAGAAGACAGCGACGCCAAAGCCAAGCCGCACACTAGCACGTGGCCACACCGCACCACGCGCAGAAAAAATTCCACTACACCAAATGCACAACCCAGCGCCCCCACCGCACACTCCAGCACACCCAGCTGTAGAAAGGGACTTCCACCACTATCATGTACTGTTCAATCACATCAGACCAGCAACGCTCCAGAAAATGGCCAAACTCGGCCTCCTGCCAAACCTCCCGCCCACACTCAGGCAACGACCACCGCGGATCACCTGCTCGAGCTGCGCTGCAGCGAAGCAGCAGCCCGCACCGCACTACCCCAAGACGCACAACTACCGAGTAGGAGCCGCCTTTAGCAGTGATATATGTGGACCATTCAACCCCACATCCAGGCAAGGCAACAAATATATACTCACAGTAATAGACACCCGATCCCGCTACCTCATAGTCGACTTCCTGCAATCAAGAGCAGAAACACCGCACAGGCTGGATGTCATCCTCACAGCCCTCAAAAAACGAAAAGGGTGCAAACCGAGACTGTTCCACACAGACAACGCGAAAGAATATGTATCAGACAGCGCCAGCGCCGTATACAGATCGCACAACGTCATGCACAGCACTACAGTCCCACACACGCCCCAACAAAATGGGATCGCGGAAAGGATAAACAATACACTCATGAACTCAGCCAGAGCCGCCCTCCACCACAGCTCACTACCCAAGACGCACTGGGAAGACGCAGTAAGGGACGCTGCATTCAAGTACAACAATATACTCCACCACGGGATCAAAACCCTCCCCTACACCATGTGGACCAATGCCACCCCCGACGTCCCGCAGTTCCTGCTGTTCGGACAGCTCGGTACAGTACCTGAGTTAGCAAATCGGAAACAAATATCAAAACTCGCCCACAGGGCAACACCCGCCAGGTACCTCCATGGCATCGACGAAAACTACATCATGGTCCTCGAACTCGACACGAACAGACCACGACGAGTTCGATGCGTCAACTTCCAACCATACCACAGCACCACCGATCCTGTAGCCTCACGCACATACGCCACGAAAGCCTTCACTCCGCATCGCACGCCAACAGAGATAACACGCACCACACCCGCCCCAGCTCACCCCGGGACAAGCCAAAAAATACCCCGACGCTGCCGAATGGGAAAAAGCCCACAACGCCGAACTCGACAACCTCGACGCCATGAACGTAGTACAGTGGATACCCGACTCTGAAATCCCCCAGAAACGGAAACTGATACCCCTAAAAATGGGATATCGTTACAAGAGGGACAGCAAAGGACAAATTGCATCGAGAAAAGCCCGATGCTCTGCAAGGGGGGACAAAATGCTACCACACAAGCACTACGACCCATCCAAAACTACAACGTACATGGCCGACAAGACCACAGTACGCGCAATGTTTGGAATAGCGGCCAAGTACCGCATGCACATCGAACACATCGATATCAAGTCAGCGTACCTACACGAAAAATTCGCGCACAACGGAGGAGAAACAGTATATGTGAGACAGCATGCCAGATTCAATGGCACATACAAACATGCCTGCCAAGGCGGAAAACTAAACATGAACATATACGGGACGCCATCCGCCGGCCACACATACCTATCTGCAGTCTTCACACTCCTACGAAAAAACAACTTCAAGCAAAGCGAAGCAGACCTGTGCCTCTGGTCCAAAACAAAAGGCAAAGAACATATAATTGCTGCTGTCAGCATGGATGACTTCACAGTACTCGCCTCAACCGCGAAACTCAAAGACGAGTTCGCCGCAGCCCTAGCGAAAGCGTACAACATCAAACGCCTAGGGGAACACAGGACTTTTCTCGGATGGACGGTGACACGACACCAAAACGGAGACATTCACATCGCCCAGCCCAACGCCATCAACTACATAGTACAGCAAGTGGACATGGCCAAATGCAATGCCAAAGACACCCCATATTGCGACGGTGTCCTGCTCCACAAGCCAACAGACAAAGACGAGACCCAACTGCACACACTCAAAAAATACCAGCAGATCATTGGGGACCTACGCTATGTCGCTGACTCGACGCGACCAGACATCTACTTCCTGGCAAACAGACTAGCAGTAGCGGCCAACAACCCGACACAAAGGCACTGGAACGCACTAAAACGCCTGATAAGGTACCTCAAGGGCACACCAAACACAGGCCTCACGTACCGAGCCGGCAAGCAACCAGACAAAGAGAAACCCCAGAACCTCCTTGTTTCGTATGCCGATGCCGATTTCGCTGCCGACATCACGGACAGGAAGTCCATATCGGGGACCCTCCACACATACAACGGCACACCGATATGTTGGGGGTCCCTCAAGCAAAACATCACAGCCCTATCCACCTGTGAGGCACAATATATTGCGGCCACCTCCGCCGCACAGCAGACCACGTGGATCCGACGTCTGCTACAGGACGTGCAAATGCTGCCGCAATCCCCGACCCCCTTGATGATAGACAACCAGTCCGCCATCCACGTTGCCAACAGCACGGGACCGACGAAGAGGCGAAAATTCATAGATCTGAGGCATCACTACCTCACGCATCAGGCTCAAAAGGGCACAATTGCCATTGCACATGTCCCCACGGACGACCAACTCGCGGACATCCTCACAAAACCGCTGCGTCGTCAAGCATTCACGCGCCTCCTCCCCAAACTACAGCTCAGAAACCACACGACTGCAGACGGCAAAACTGCAGCACCGTCGACAGGGGGAGGGTCATGAGAGCCATAAAAACAAACGTGGACGCCGCAACAGCAATGCGTCAGCAGTCATGAGAGCCATATACACACACGTAGCACACGTACAACAGCGATCAACTCACCACGATGGCCGCCGGCCTAGGGATGGCTACCATCCCTACATAAGGTAGATAGAGACGGGATCACAGTAAACCGAGCCATGGATCTGGCATCACACCCT